AGAAAAAACCATGAAAAGGAATCCTTTTGAATGCACAAAACCGGGTATCGGGTATAGGCACTTTGATGCTGCTGCCCTTTACCATTCAGAGCAAACTCTTGGTGAGGCAATAGCACAAGCTCTACAGCTTGGGCTCATTCAATCTCGCACGGAGCTTTTCATCACATCAAAGCTTTGGTGCTCCGACGCACACACCGACCGTGTCCTTCCAGCATTGCAAAAAACTTTGCAGTAGGATATATAATTTTCATTCATATACTAATAATTAACAAAGGTATACATACTACTTGATTTTAATTCTGTTTTATTACATGTATCTTAGGAGACTTGGGCTAGAGTATTTGGATTTATACCTCATTCACTTTCCAATCTTCTTGAAGTCCGAGGGCTATGAAGCGACTTTCAATAATAAGGATCTTCTTCCCATGGACTTCAAGGCTGTTTGGGAAGCTATGGAGGAGTGTCACAGACTCGGCCTCGCCAAACATATAGGAGTTAGCAACTTCTCCTGCCAGAAGATTCAGCAATTATTGCTCACATCAAAGATCCTTCCGGCCGTTAATCAAGTGAGTGTTTTATTTTTGACAGATGAAGTCCATCAGATTATGATATAGATCCAACTTCTTAATTCATCTCTTTAAATATGCTACCAAAATTTTTGCTATGTTTTAGAAGTTTTATCTTTGCAGCCGTATTTTTTATTTTTTGGATTGTCAAAAAGAAAGTAAAATTTTATTAAAAATAATTAAACATTACAAAGGAAGAGAGAGAGAGAGAGAGAGAGAGAGAGAGAGAGTAACAAAGATGACAAGAAATCCCAACAGAAAAGATAACGTTGCCAAGTTGACAACACAACATTCACAGCCACACTTCTAACATCAATTATCTTTGCAGCTGCTGAATACAGACATTAATAAAAAAGTTATTCTCTGGTTGTGAAGCAACATCTTTGATGTTTAATCACCTCTACTTTAGCTCTAAGAAATTAGCTTCTTTTTTTTTTTTTTTTTTATCAGCAAAAAGAAATTTTATTGATGAAAATATTAGAGTACAAAGAGAACAATGATGCACAACAATAAAGAGATGCGAGTGTAAAGAGCATCACAGCAAAACTTAAATATCGATCCTATATTTGGTCATGTGACCCTACAGTTGGTCATGTCACTTTAGAAGAAGAATTATCATTTTGAGAATTTTTCAAATTGCCTCCAGTATGAAAAAAAATTCTCAAGTGTTTTGCAGAACTCTCATGTTTTCTCCAATTTATCTACTTTCATTTGAGATGATTCTTTGATTTGTTAGTGTCTATTTTTTATGTATTTATTTGTAATTCCATTTCAAATATCGATCCTATATTTTGGGGTTAATTAATGTCATTTCTTGTAATAAAAATAAATAATAAAAAAAAACATGTGATTTTTTAAAAATCATACTAGTATGTTAATATGTATTATTGCATTGCGAATTGAATAATGAAGGTGGAGGTGAACCCAGTTTGGCAGCAAAAGAAGTTAAGGGAATTCTGTGAGAAAAAGGGTATCCATGTTACAGCATACTCACCTTTAGGTGCTAGTGGAACAAGGTGGGGAAACAACCGAGTCATGGATTGTGAGACACTCAAAGAGATTGCTGATGCTAAAGGCAAGACTGTTGCTCAAGTAACATTTTATTTTTAGGAGACTTACGTGTAGGTCTTAGTATGTAGAATTTTTGTCCAATAGGTTCTATGATAATTAATGACATTTTTCATCAAACACTATTAAAAAATGTCACTAATTATTAATTTTCATGTAACAGTTTTAAAATTTTGTCACAAGAAATGTCACTAAGGCATTGTTTGGGAACATGCTAATTTAGTAACTTTTTGGTGCACAATACTAAACCATGAGATCATAGGTGACAATTTCAGTGAGATCACCTTCATTGATTTGAGTTTTATTCAACAAAACAAAATATGAGTTATGAAGTCCAAATTAGAATAATATACAACAAATTCTTCTGTCAAGTCTATTCTATTTAGGGTATGAGTCTTCATATTATCTAAATGTTGCTACATTGATAGGTTTGCTTGAGATGGGTTTATGAGCAAGGAGTGAGCGTACTTGTGAAGAGCTTTAACAAAGAGAGGATCAAAGAAAATCTGGACATATTTGATTGGATGCTCAGTCCCGAAGAGTCTCAGAAGATTGACAGAATTCCACAGCAAAAAGGGTGTCTTGGACTCCAGTTCATATCCGACCAAGGCCCTTATCAATCTGTTGAGGAGATTTGGGATGAAGAGATTATAACTTGTTAAGGTTATAATTTACAACCTGCTCTGTTTGGTCTATGTGATATAATTAAAACCAGGACTGCTATGTGGGTTAGAGCTGCTGATGTGAAGCTGCCTTTTTCAGTCAATGATTTCTTGTATAACTTACAACAAATTAAGTTTTGTCGAAGAGGGATAGGTTGAAGCCGTGCCTGTCCTACTTCTTGTTTCTTTTCTTCTCTGGTAGGTGCATTTTCCTGGTGCCTATTTTGGAGCTATTTTCTTTTCTTCTTCTCGGACTCTGCTGCTATATGCTCGGCTTACTTCTTCTTTGCTGGTACTGTTTTGGTGCTCTTTCTACTATCTGTCTGCTGGTGCATGCAGCTATGTTGCTGATATATTTTGTGGGTTATTCTGCTGCTGCTATCATTTTGGTGATTTTTGCTGGTTTACTCTCCTCTGGTTTATGCTGCTATTCTCCTATGTTTCCTGTTGGTTTTCCTCTTGTTGGTTTCTCACCAACGGTTGTATTACTAGCGGATGTTCAGGCTAGCTCATTGGTGGCAAGTTTGTTTGGTTTCAATTGCTACGCTGCTGATGTATTTGTGTTCATTATATATATTTTCTCTTTTGCTTGCGTATCAAAAAAATAATAATAATAATAACAATTTGAAGAACAAATTTGCCACCAATGAGCAACAAATTTGCCACCAAATTTGCCACCAATGAGCAACAAATTTGCCACCAAATCCCAGCAGCAGAATAACCCACAAAATATATCAGCAACATAGCTGCATGCACCAGCAGACAGATAGTAGAAAGAGCACCAAAATAGTACCAGCAAAGAAGAAGTAAGCCGAGCATATAGCAGCAGAGTCCGAGAAGAAGAAAAGAAAATAGCTCCAAAATAGGCACCAGGAAAATGCACCTACCAGAGAAGAAAAGAAACAAGAAGTAGGACAGGCACGGCTTCAACCTATCCCTCTTCGACAAAACTTAATTTGTTGTAAGTTATACAAGAAATCATTGACTGAAAAAGGCAGCTTCACATCAGCAGCTCTAACCCACATAGCAGTCCTGGTTTTAATTATATCACATAGACCAAACAGAGCAGGTTGTAAATTATAACCTTAACAAGTTATAATCTCTTCATCCCAAATCTCCTCAACAGATTGATAAGGGCCTTGGTCGGATATGAACTGGAGTCCAAGACACCCTTTTTGCTGTGGAATTCTGTCAATCTTCTGAGACTCTTCGGGACTGAGCATCCAATCAAATATGTCCAGATTTTCTTTGATCCTCTCTTTGTTAAAGCTCTTCACAAGTACGCTCACTCCTTGCTCATAAACCTATCTCAAGCAAACCTATCAATGTAGCAACATTTAGATAATATGAAGACTCATACCCTAAATAGAATAGACTTGACAGAAGAATTTGTTGTAGATTATTCTAATTTGGACTTCATAACTCATATTTTTTTTTGTTTAATAAAACTCAAATCAATGAAGGTGATCTCACTAAAATTGTCACCTATGATCTCATGGTTTAGTATTATGCACCAAAAAGTTACTAAATTAGCATGTTCCCAAACAATGCCTTAGTGACATTTCTTGTGACAAAATTTTTAAACTGTTACATGAAAATTAATAATTAGTGACATTTTTTAATAGTGTTTGATGAAAAATGTCATTAATTATCATAGAACCTATTGGACAAAAATTCTACATACTAAGACCTACACGTAAGTCTCCTAAAAATAAAATGTTACCTGAGCAACAGTCTTGCCTTTAGCATCAGCAATCTCTTTGAATGTCTCACAATCCATGACTCGGTTGTTTCCCCACCTTGTTCCACTAGAACCTAAAGGTGAGTATGCTGTAACATGGATACCCTTTTTCTCGCAGAATTCCCTTAACTTCTTTTGCTGCCAAACTGGGTTCACCTCCACCTTCATTATTCAATTCGCAATGCAATAATACATATTAACATACTAGTATGATTTTTAAAAAATCACATGTTTTTATTTATTTATTTTTATTACAAGAAATGACATTAATTAACCCCAAAATATAGGATCGATATTTGAAATGGAATTACAAATAAATACATAAAAAATAGACACTAACAAATCAAAGAATCATCTCAAATGAAAGTAGATAAATTGGAGAAAACATGAGAGTTCTGCAAAACACTTGAGAATTTTTTTTCATACTGGAGGCAATTTGAAAAATTCTCAAAATGATAATTCTTCTTCTAAAGTGACATGACCAACTGTAGGGTCACATGACCAAATATAGGATCGATATTTAAGTTTTGCTATGATGCTCTTTACACTCGCATCTCTTTATTGTTGTGCATCATTGTTCTCTTTGTACTCTAATATTTTCATCAATAAAATTTCTTTTTGCTGATAAAAAAAAAAAAAAAGAAGCTAATTTCTTAGAGCTAAAGTAGAGGTGATTAAACATCAAAGATGTTGCTTCACAACCAGAGAATAACTTTTTTATTAATGTCGTATTCAGCAGCTACAAAGATAATTGATGTTAGAAGTGTGGCTGTGAATGTTGTGTTGTCAACTTGGCAACGTTATCTTTTCTGTTGGGATTTCTTGTCATCTTTGTTACTCTCTCTCTCTCTCTCTCTCTCTCTCTCTCTCTCTCTCTCTCTTCCTTTGTAATGTTTAATTATTTTTAATAAAATTTTACTTTCTTTTTGACAATCCAAAAAATAAAAAATACGGCTGCAAAGATAAAACTTCTAAAACATAGCAAAAATTTTGGTAGCATATTTAAAGAGATGAATTAAGAAGTTAGATCTATATCATAATCTGATGAACTTCATCTGTCAAAAATAAAACACTCACTTGATTAACGGCCGGAAGGATCTTTGATGTGAGCAATAATTGTTGAATCTTCTGGCAGGAGAAGTTGCTAACTCCTATATGTTTGGCGAGGCCGAGTCTGTGACACTCCTCCATAGCTTCCCAAACAACCTTGAAGTCCATGGGAAGAAGATCCTTATTATTGAAAGTCGCTTCATAGCCCTCGGACTTCAAGAAGATTGGAAAGTGAATGAGGTATAAATCCAAATAATCTAGCCCAAGTCTCCTAAGATACATGTAATAAAACAGAATTAAAATCAAGTAGTATGTATACCTTTGTTAATTATTAGTATATGAATGAAAATTATATATCCTACTGCAAAGTTTTTTTCAATGCTGGAAGGACACGGTCGGTGTGTGCGTCGGAGCACCAAAGCTTTGATGTGATGAAAAGCTCCGTGCGAGATTGAATAAGGCCGAGCTGTAGAGCTTGTGCTATGGCTTCACCAAGGGTCTGCTCTGACTGGTAAACTGCAGCAGCATCAAAGTGCATATACCCGAGTTTTAGTGCATTCAGAATGGATTCTTTCATGATTTCTGATGCAACAAAAGGCTAAGTAGCCGTTCCGACGCCTACCACTGGAATTGTCGCATCAGTTGAACCATGTAGAAGCTCTGGAATGCTTCCCATTTTCTATTGTTCTTGGTTGATTAATAATATCACACAATGAAATCTTGTTCATAGACCAATATATAGAATTATTTTTTTTTATCAGCAAAAAAGATCAACTTTATTGATGAGATTCAACAATACAGATGAACACATCAGCAAAGAAGGGAAAAAAGCACACCAGAGGATGGTGAGATACCACCCAAGAAGAAAAACAAACAAGCCAAAAGAACTACACCCAACCAGAAAAACAAAACAACCAAACACCATACAGTGAAAACTAGCAGCACCACCAATCCAGTCCTAACACCCCCAACTTCCAGCAACTACAATAGAACAGAAGCAACCCAACACCACCGACATCATCAAGACAAAGGCACATACCTGATGTGTTGCAATTTCCGAATGATGTCCTGGACTAAATAAGAACACCCCTTTGAATGAGCTTTGACCCAAAAAGCCACTCTAGCTATAATCAACTCACAGAATTCTGCAATATATAGAATCATTATCAGCATGGGAGTTGTCAGGGAGGGCAAATCTCAATCAGGCCTCAAGGAAAATGTCAATAAGAGTTTTTTTTTTTGTTATTTAAATTTTTTATTGACTTTATGAAACTTTTCAATGCAATCTATTTTCAGGTGTAAATTACTTGGGACCACCACGCAAGGACCACGGGGTCATGTTCCCTTGGATTTTGTATTTTTTTTTAACAAATATTAAGAAAATATTTTAAATAAAAAGAATTACAAAAATATTATTAGAGTAAAATGTCAATGACATTTTAAAAATTATGAAAATAAAAATGGTTGTTTTGATTGAAAATGAAAAGACTACTATAAACTATATTATCTATGAAATTTTTAAATGTAATGGTGAGGTCATTTTTATTAACATGCAAGTATAAGTAATTTCACTATAAAGATATGAAATTTATTGGATTGTTAGTTACATTTGACATGTGAGGTTCACTTTCTATGTGTTTATTTACTATTAGTTGGTGATATCGCATACTAATGATGACGTGATATTACCATTATATTGAATTTTTAATCAAATTTTGTATAAAAAAATAATTTATCATTACATAATGTATTTTAAGACTTATATCCATATTTTTTTATATTGTCTATGATACACTAGTTATAAATAACATTATTTTTTTGATATTTCTCGAAATCAATTGTAAAAACTTGCATGAAATATTTTTATAAAATTTTTTGATACTGTAATTAATAAGTGCCCTCCTAATTTAATTTTCTGGCTCCGCCACTGCTTGGATCCTTGAGTTTACCGTGCTGTTCAATGTTGTCATCAGAAAGTCGACCTCTTGATGCTCTGCTTTCTTTTTGTCGTCGCAGGTTTTCTTGTTGCTGTGCTCCGTGCTCTTTTGTCTTATTTTTGATACACTATCTAAAGATAAAAAATAAAAAAAGGAGACTGATCATTAATCACTTAATGATATTTTGATCATAGTCGTCCTTGAAATTTTCTATTACTCACTACAACAAAAACTGGCTATAACCACGTTTTTTTGACAACGTTTTTCTGAAAAACGCTGTGGAAGAGGTAAAGTAAGATTAAAAGACGCGCGTTATCCTTTTATGAACACGTGTTCCACCGCGTTATCCTTTATTTCTCTTTCCGTCCCATTTCTGTCTCTATCGTTTTCTCTCTCCTTCCTAAATCTAGGGTTTTCTCTGTCTCCTCATGCTCCTTGAGAGATTCACCTGGGTTGATTCCAATTACTTGTTCAGATCTAACTCTAAATCCATCGATTCTTACATCGATTTGGTTGAAATTTCTTAACGATTTTTTGTTTTTCTTGATTCTAATTCTGATTTTGATGATTTTGCAGAGGAAGATGGTTCGGTTGAGTTGCACAAATTGGCGGGGTTACGAGACTGAGAAGTGAAGAAGGATCAAGATCCTCAGGAGAGTCCTTTTTGCCTCTATTTTTATACTCTCTGCATGGTGAGAATAAGCTTTTTTTTTTTTGCGCTTCTTCTTCTTCGCTCTGTTTTATCAGATCTGCTATGTTCTAACTCTTCTCTTGTCATGTATGAGTGATTCGTTTTATGTTCTTCATTGATATGGACTTATTGGTAAGAAGATGTTAGAGTTTTGCTGCTGCTTTTAGTGAATTTTTTTGTTACAGTGCTTATGGCCTTGGATCTGAAAGTTTGAGATTTGCCTTGATTTTGTGGTAGATTTGGAACTAAACACTCTAGTACAAGCTAGATCTCGCTATTTTGGCTAAAAATTTGCTTTTTCTTCTAACTTACAGTTTATTCAAGTTTTTTTGCATGACTAAGTAATTTTGTTACTGTTTTGGCCAACTATTTCTAGCTAGCTCTCTGAGTCTCCTTTCGTTTTTGGTTTTTGTTTTTGTATATTATGATTGGCTTAAAACAAAGACATACAAGAACATAAATTTGAATTTTAGTTATGCATAAATATTACTGCCACTGTCATAAACCCTTAATTAACTGATTTTCAAAAACTAATTTTCAAATATTATCTCTCTACGCATCAGTAAAAGAAGATCACGTCTCTCTACCCTCCTAATCAAATTGTGAATATTTGAATTTGAATTGCATGAACAAGTGTCTTAATATATACATCATTGATTCTTTAGGAAACAAAAGTGTTAACACAGCTTTAGAAAGTCGGAAACACCAAAATGGGGTTCTCCCATTTTATATAAATGATTTTACAATCTTTTGATCCAAATTGTGTGTTGTAGTGGTCATGCTTTCAATTAATGTTTGTAATATGATTTGTAAAATGTGGGTAGTCATGCATCAGTTAGTAATTTTGGCATCTGGTACAAGTGGGCGTTTATTTAATGGAAATTGTTATTTGCTATTAAGCCTTTGTTCCTTACTAATGCAACACGTAGAAGCATTGCATCTTAATTTTTATTTTGTTTCTCATTTCAATCCCTACAGTGAATTGGAAACATGTGATCACTTCAATTGTATGCTAGACTTTAATGGTTTCCCTGCTTTTCTAACTATCCACGGTGTTTGGGTCTGTACAAATGCTTAAACTCTATGGTGTTCCCTACATGGTAAGTCAAATACATTCCATTCTCAAAGTGTTCCTAGAATTCCATCTGATAAAAAGAACGACCATGGCTAAGAAAAAAAGCTTCCTTGGTATCATGGAAAGGTACTAGCAATTTTTTGTTCTCAGTTTTTCCAAATATGCTTAGTTTTAATCAATTCAAAAATAAAAAATAAAAAAAACCTCCCCCCATTCTTATGTTTCTGTCTAAAGAGGTTGTGTATTTAATGTTGCTATTTTAATTGGTGGTTGTTGCTGTTAGAGATACTTTTACATGGGATTATTGCTTATTTTTTGCTTATGGGATTATTGCTTGTCCTTGCTGTTGAATTTGGAGTTGCTGCTTTTTGTTTTTTTTTTTTGGTATTGAACATTTGGAATAATGTTATTGATGTGCCTGTTTGGAATCTTGTGTTATTGATGTCCCTCTCTCACTCTCTACATTCTTCTGTATCGGAAACCTGTTATGTAACCATCTAAAATTGTCTTCCTGAACCAATATATTGTGAACATTCGTGTTGTTTTATATGTGGGTGTGTTAATAATTATTTGACTTTAGATTTTGAATGTTTCATATGTTGATAATGAATGTCTATGTCACGCCCTCAAAAAAATAACCCATTATATATATCATTGACATGCATTATTTAAAGAAAACACTGTATTAATTCATTCATCAGAGTATTACCAAATAAAAACATTACATGAAATATCAAATTAAATGCCCTACAAGCTTACATCTTTCCAAGCCAACACTTGGACACAAAAGTAGGAGTTCTAACTCAAATACAAATAAAGCCCTAGGCTTGAATGTTTATCAAATAAAAACAAATAACTAAGATAGTCTTCAAAATCCAAATCAGAATGCTCGCTCGAGCAAGGAACTCGAAAACATACACCTCGCTCGCTCGAGCGAAGAAAATCTCGCTCGAGCGAATAAGCACTGCCCTCAAGTCTATACCAGACGCAGTCGCTCGCTCGAGCGAAGCAAATCTGGATCGAGCCAGAGGACACAAAAACAAACCTCGCTCGAGCGACCAAATCCTGGCCCAAGCGACCAACCCAAAAACTGGACGGCAACACTTGGTTTACGAACCCAACCAACCTGAAACAAACCTGCCCAACACATCCTATAACTACAAATGAGAAAATAAAGGACAACAACAACAAGTAAACAATGACAGAATAAACGGAACCCAAGTCCGTATACAATAATCAAATGGGAAAAGACCGGGGTCGCTATAGTCTAGTTGCTTAGTTTCTCTTACATGGGTTTGCTTTGTTACCAGTTTGAGGTATTGTTTTCCTTTCATCCTACTCCAGCAGTTTGTGGGTTTCGTACAAAAGAGGCACGTGTTCTAATTCCAGAAACTGGTACATGTATATTGCTATATCATTTCTGTTCTGCAATCTATGTTTTATGGCTTGTTTACATCCATGTGAAATTTTTAAGATGAGACATAATTCAATTCTTGACTAAAGTTGAACAAGAAAGGAATCAATGATCTAAAGAAAGTATACATACTTATCTTGCCTAGACGGAATCATATATCATGATTTACACTTCCCTGTAAAGCTTATGTGTTTACTGTCCATTAGTGCGACTCGTCTAATTTGAAGTACATATAACAGTGATTTAGCCTAACTAACATTGGTCATATTATTGTCCTTATGGTTTTGGTTCCACTTCCTGATGTGTTTTGGCAAAAGACCTCTTGGTTTATTTTGAGTAATGATGCTCAATTCCTAATTGATGCAGTAGAGGATGGACTTGTATCAAGTCATAGACAAAGAAATTTAAAGTGGTATCTAAATTTTTACTTTGATTGAAGGAAATTCAATCAGTCTGAAATTTCAAGTGTTACATGAATTTTTACTTTGACATAGACAAAGAAATTTAGGTCAAGTTCAACCTCCGACTTTTGCCAAAGGACTTATACCAAAAACAAGGATCCAAAGCAACTAATGGAGAAAGGAGATTTTATCTCACTGGCCTTAAGCAGTTGGGTCAGGGCCTAGTTGAGTCATCAATTAGTAAGTTCTACTATATTACTAATTACTATAGCCCTATTTCCTTCACATAAAGGTGTAAATAATATTACTTCCTTATTTTGTTAATCTGTGTTGCAACTTGCATTGCAATATATCATTTGGGAGGTTTTTTTTTATTATTTATTTTTATATTATTCTGTGACTTCGGTTGGATACGTTGGCCTGAGCACAAGTCATGCTGGGTTCAAAATTCATCTAGTTCACAATAATTGTGTATATTTTTTGGGTCAATAAACAAGATCTTGTTGCCTATTCATCTTGTTTCAGTTATGTTTCATTTGTACATGTTGTAATTTTATTATTTCTTGGTGGTTCATGAACATTGTGAATTAGGATTTTAATTGTTCTGATCTATTACTTCAAATTTTATGCATCAGGTTTGTGATTACGGTCTGCCTCCGTCAATTAACAATAGTATTAAGGTTGGTGCAATATTGTATATCTTTTACATTTGCATATATGGCATGTTGCAGATGCATACATGTTAGAAAATTAAAAGAAAAGGAAAAAGATTTTAGGATCACTTTATTTTATGTACAGAGAATTTTAATGTTTACTTTTGAATTTTGGTCACAAGTCATTTATTATTTATGATTATAATTTGCTAACTTTTTATTTTTTATTTTTTTATTTTTTTTTTGGGGGTAGTTTCTTTATTTTTTTTAATATTATTGATTCCAGTGTTTTTTTGTAGAAGCTTTGGCCAAGTTGTTCATATATGGCATGTTGCAGATGCATACATGTTAGAAAATTAAAAGAAAAGGAAAAAGATTTTAGGATCACTTTATTTTATGTACAGAGAATTTTAATGTTGACTTTTGAATTTTGGTCACAAGTCATTTATTATTTATGATTATAATTTGCTAACTTTTTATTTTTTATTATTTTTATTTTTTTTTGGGGTAGTTTCTTTATTTTTTTTAATATTATTGATTCCAGTGTTTTTTTTTGTAGAAGCATTGGCCAAGTTGTTCCTTGAAATAAGCATTGGCCCATGAATGAGCCTTATGGAAATTGTAGCCTTATGGAAGAGGAATTAAAATTGTTTGGTTTATTTTTAGTTTATGTGCATGTATAAAGAATCCTTGACTTTCAGATTTGATTTTATTTAGCTAATAGTGCAATTTGAAAATTGAATCATTATTTTGTTTTTTTTTTTTTAAGGAGTTTTATTTTGTAGATTTAGTGTAATTGAAATTATACATTTTCTTTTTATATAAATTGCAGTGCTATATTTTTTTTTTTATTTTTTAAAAAAGGAGAAAAGATGGCATTTTTTCAAAAAACGTCAGTAAATGTCGTCATATGATGTCAGCGTTTAACTGTGACGGTTTCACATAACGGAATGTATGAGAATTTATGACATTTTAAAAAACGCCGGTTAAAGTCATTAGCGACGTTTTATAAACGTTATATACCTAAGACGGCGGCCGTATCTGCGACGAAAGTTATAAACGCCATCTTTATTCTTTAACTGCGTTTCGAAGACTTATAGTGACGTTTTTTAAACGTTGCTAATTCTGAAAATTCCTGCAGTGGTGGCAGAAGTTTTGCTTTCTTTCTTTGTGGGTTGATTAAAGAATGGTAGTAATGACAGTCATATTCTACCATAATTTAGTTTGGTAGTGGATATCATTATTCATGTCAATCATTTTTTATCATAAAAATATTGTTTAACATTGATTAAGAATGGTTAATGATTAATCAATTAACTTTAAAAGGACTCAATACTTAGCTTTTCACAAGTAATTAGCATTCATTGCTAGGCAAAGGGTCTTCCTGCAACTGTTCTGGTCCACATCTTTCTTTGTTACTCCTTTGCTCCAGTCCATTGATCACAGGTATAACCCGCTTTCTCCATTATTTCTCTTTCTTATAAAAATATTATTTGAAAAATAATTTAATACTATATTTTTAAATAAATAAATATTTACAAATATCACATCCATAGCCACGTCAACACTAAGTACAACATGTCATAAAAAATTATATTTTTTATTTACTTTTATAGTATTTCTCTTTTAAAAACAAGTTAAGTTAGTTTGATTGATTAGTTAAGATAAAAAGTGGGTGTGTTAATATCTGACCATATTGCCAAACAGGTACTCAGCTAGAGAACACCGACAGAATAGATTGCGCCCGAACGACCTTAGACCCATGAGGGTGCCTTACTTTTATAACCGACTCTGACCTAATCCCAATAGAAGCTTAGCTTTAATGGACTCTGGTTCAATGCTAATCCTGGACTCCCAGTTAAATTAGGATAAACTTCCTATGAGTCTTATCACACAATGAAATCTTGTTCATAGACCAATATATAGAATCATAATCAGCATGGGAGTTGCCAGGGACGGCCAACCACAGTGAGGGATGGTATTTTGGCAAAACATTTATAAATTTATGAAAAAAAAATTATAACTTTAATTATCAAATTTGATAAAGTTTACCACTGAGTTGTGCACTGAAGTGCGGTTTCTCTTTTCTTTTCTTTTTTATTGATTATTATTTATATTTTAATATTTTTTGATATTTTTTTTATCAACGTGTGTTCGAACAAATTTATGTGCACCTCTACTAATTTCAGGACCCTGAAATTAACGACCGAGATATTTGGCCTTTGTGGGATTCGACTATGCAACCTCTTAGGTGGTAAGCCCTCTGATAATTGTAATATATTTAATTTGTCAAAAAAAAAAGTGTATGATCTATTATTCAAAATATACTTGTCGTTTTTTTATTATTAGACAAATGTAATAAATTAAACATGATACGATTATCAAATTAATCTAAAAAAAAATTTAAATAATATACACAAAAAATTTCATAAAATAAAGAATTTTGATGAAACAGAACCTATCTTTTCATGTGAAGCTTTTTTGTTTTTCTTATGTCTTTTAGCCTTTTATCAGCATCAGTGCCAATCAGACACTATTATGGACTTTTTGCCTTTGAGAGAGAGAGAGAGAGAGAAGAAAAAGAAGAAACAAAAACTCACGGGGTTTTTTCAACCTCTTGGCTTTTTCCATACAATGTGCCGTTTTGGCAAATATACAAAAAGGCAGCGTTTTTCAATACCTTCCCAAAACGTCAACCTTCCCAAAACGCTGATATTCCCATTTGGGAAGAGAACTCTTATGTGATTGATCTTTTCAGATTGTTTTCCTTAAAATTTTATGTTTCAAGTGTCAACTTCATAGCCAAAATTTAAAAAGAAAAATTATGTGCATAATTAATTACATGAAAAAATAATTTCTAGTGTTAAAAAATTTTATGTTGAAACAAACGGAGGTTAAAAAGAAATACATTTACTCCAGTTAGGTATTGTGTTGTTAGGTCTCAGTTTGTTGGGCCTATCTGAAAATCAATTTTGTTAATTTCGAATCATTCATCTTATAACATTTACTGAATATACTATCTATATAAAAAAATTAAGATAATTCTAAGAATTAGATAGTATCTGATCATCTTAATTTTTTAACTAGATATTTTGCTCTAGTAGTTCTCTCAAGCTAGTAATTGATATTATCAAGGTGGAGCCACCAAACTCAACAACAGCACGCCCAGCTAGAGAGAACCCATTTCGAACTCAAAAATTAAAAAAAAAATAAAAATAGAAATTTATTAGATAGGTCTGTCTCATATTTTACATGATATGTTCTTACAATTCTATTAGTTATAGATCCATTATTTCTTATTTTTTTCCCTATATATTATATAAAACAACCAATATAATTGGAAGGGCACACAGTCTAATTGGAATTCTTGAAAGACAGGATAATTTTTCCAAAAATAAATGTTAGTTAATTGGTTGTTATATAATTGTTTTCACTACAGTGTATTAAAATTGTTAGATGAGTCATATTTAGTAAGATGAGTCGTGCATCAACCTTAGTTTAGTTTAGTTTAGTGGTGACGGTCCGTGCTAAGTGAAGATGATTTGTAACTTTCTGGTTTTAATATACAAATTCTCTTGACGATATATTTTTGATCAACTTATATAATTTTATCCAAATCAATGATTTTTTGAAAACTAATACAATAACCCTTGATTATAAGGTTAGTGGTAGATTCCAAACCATAAGAAATTTCTTATTTTATTTTATTTATTTTATGTTTGATTAATTTTAGTTTTATTAATTTCAAAATCAATTTTCTTAAATTGCTTTAATTATTATTTTTGTATCAAAACAACTTGATTAGTCTCTGAGGATCGACACCTGGTCTTAATCACTATTTTACAGAATAGTTATTTTTACTTCGTTTTAAATAAAATATTTTGATGCACAAATGACCATATCAAATACCATATCAAAACATTTAACTCAAAATTAATTTGCAATAAATACAGAGAAATTAACAATATATTAGACAAATTTGAGTAACTTAGATTAATGACGTGAGATTAAAGTTTAATAAAATTATTTACAAATTTAAATATATAAAATAACAAACACAATTCGCTAGTCATGATACAAAACCACATATGAGAAAAAATGGTGTTGTTGCACGAGCTGCACATCAAAATATGGTCATAATAACATTTATTATTATGACATAACCATTTTAAAATTATCATCTTATCTATTATACAAATTATAAAAATTTATAATTTTCTAAATTACAGGGGGCAATCTATATTTTAAGCAAATCTCAAGGAGTGTATTTGTAATTTACCCGAATCTAAATTATATGCCTATTTCTATGCACTGTTCTTTGTCCCTTTTAATGTTATTAGTTCATACAGATACTTTTACTGATATAAACAACCACATGAATCAATGAAATTTATATAAACTCAAAAAAAAAAAAAAAAAGGAATAGAAGGGAGTAAGTGGTCTTATTCGAATATATGGCAAAATGGAAAAGGTAAATTGAATTAAAGACCTAACCTTTGGTTAAAACAAATGCATTTATACTATTTTCCTAATTAGGTTATTCAATTTTTTTAATTGAATAACAATAAATATAAATAAATTTCTTAAAATTATTATTATATATTTTTTTTAATTTGATAAGAAGACAATGGTCATGTCAAATGCAAAATTTTCTTATAATAATGAGATTTAGGCCTAATTGGGTTGGGATTCATGCAGGACCTGGAATTAGCGAAGACGTTAGTGAGGCCCAACGGGATGTTCTTCGATGACGTGGCCAAGGAATCGCTTCTAACAGAAGCGAGATACGGGTCGGTGAGTCGGGTTTACATAGTGTGCAAAGAAGACCAACTTATGAAGCCCGAATTCCAGAGATGGATTATTCAGAACAACCCACCTGATGAAGTCAAGTCCATTGCAAATGCTGACCACATGATCATCCTATCGAAACCCAAGGAGCTTTGCCTCTGTTTGCAGGAGATTTCTCAGAAATATCATTGATTTTACTTGAGTGTTTTAATAGATTAAGCTCTATTTGGTAATCTCTAAATAAACAGTTTTTTTAATTAAAATAATCAAAAGTTAAAAAGTCTATTGGTTTGTTCAGTTATAATTTTAAAACAACTTTTTCATTAAAAAATAATAAATTTGAGAATGTTAGCAGCTAAAAAATGACTTCATTATTAATATTTTTAAAAACTTCACTGTGTCCCTTTACTTATACTGTATTAATGATTGTAATATGGTAATTTTCTTTTTATCAAAAAGCAAAATTTTGGAAAAATTCATAAAGAACTTTTTTTCTTAACCAAAAAATAATTTTTGTAACAATTACCTAACAGCTTTTTAAAACTATGAAAAAATTGAAAATCAAAAAATTATTTTTAAAAAAAAAAAATTGTTGAAGTTCACCAAAATTGAGGAAAGAAGTAACAGTAGCTGGTTTATATGATGATTAGGCTGTGTGCATCACTGAGATTGTAAAATTATTTTCAATTTTTTTTTTATGAGTAAAAAAAAGATTATATTGATGAAAAGTGAAATACAAAGTATATTACAGCAAATATCATTAAAGTAAGTTGTGTGCAAAAACGTCGCAGTGAGTAAGATCATCTCATTTGTTCTTGCTAGTTTGCCAATTTGTTAAAGATGCATTTAAGCCTCCGTTTGGGAAATGGGTTGACTTTTTGACTTTTTTGACTATTTTAGCCTGGATTAAAAAGCTTGATTTGTGAAGATTTTTTTAGCTTTTTTTTTTTAGAGAAGAGTATAATAATTATGGGTTAGATGTGATGTTTTATTTGTTGTGGATAAAATAGCCTATTTTGTCTTTTATGACTATTTTAGTCACAAACCAACTTGCCAAACACCATCAATTATTTTTAATTGACTAGTTCAAAAAATGTGAAAAGAATTGAAAGTCTCAACCACCTCACCACTCCATACACCGTAATGGGTTAAAAAGCTTGGTTTGTGAAGGATTTTTTTAGCTTTTTTTTTTAGAGAAGAGTATAATAATTATGGGTTAGATGTGATGTTTTATTTGTTGTGGATAAAATAGCATATTTTGTCTTTTATGACTATTTTAGCCACAAACCAACTTGCCAAACACCATCAATTATTTTTAATTGACTAGTTCAAAAACTGTGAAAGGAATTGAAAGTCTCAACCACCTCACCACTCCATGCACCGTAACCATCACCATCACTAACATCAACACTAATGCAATCATTAATATATTAATCTCAAATTTGTAAATCAAAAAAATATTTCTTATGAAAAATATTCTTTTTTGTTGAAATGAACAGAAAGGAATAAATCCAACTTAATAAAACAGATAAAGTAGAAATAAAAGTTGAGTGGGAGGCACTTTAAATGTAGTTTACAATGATATACATAAGCACCTTACCATACTAATTGCGACAAAGTTTTTCCGGCATTTACTCAAGCACAAAAGGAAACCATACTGCCACACAAACCCAACATCACCAGGACCATTGCCACACACACCAATTGAGGTACCGAAACAGAGAAAAAAACATAATGTCAACCCTGGGTTGGGATAACAAGAAGAGGTTGGTTCCTTCTTCTGTAAGGTGCAATGCTAAACTTCTCCTCCATGTGCAAGTTATCTAGTTCAATCCCACCTTCACTCTTCGAATCAAATAAGTTTATGAGCAAACCCAACACCACTAGAACCATTCTTATTGCCGCACACAAATTGAAGAACCAAAAAAGAAGGGGGGGAAAAAAATGCACATTGTCAACCCTGGACTGGAACAGCAAAAAAGAGGTTGAGCCTTCTGTAAGATCATGCCAAACTTCTCCATATCCAAGTTCTCCGGTTTAATCCCACCATCAAGCTTCCAATCAAGCGAATTTAAGAGTGAACCCAACATCACTGAAATCAGTGTGGGAGTTGCCTGGGATGACCCTACCTCAGTGAGGCCTCATGCAAAATGTCAACGAGAGGTTCTCTTTATATTAATATAATACATTGGTGCATTTTAATATATTTGCTATTCACTATTTTTTTTAAAATTTAGACTTTTCACATGGATCTTGAGGAGTTTGTTGGAGTAATGGGTATTGCTAATAGTTTTGCTTGGGATAATGGAGAATTTTATTGACTGACAGAGAAGTTGAAGAAGTGTATATATATATATATATATATGGCATTGGGCTTGTGGATAATTTGCAAGAAATGGATCAAACTCACAAGCTCATAGAATAAACATATGGAGGAGGTATGAGGTTTCATGAATTAATGAGCCATTAACACTACGACCATGTTTATTTGGACGGACTACATTAAGTTGGATTGACATTTATTCCATGTTTAACTCAGGATTATTAGGTGCGCTAAATAGTCCAAACCTCTCCTTACTCTCCATTTTGTATCCCAACACCCTTTTGGATTCAATAGTCCTCCACATGGGGATACTATGTCTTGATGGACTGTGAGTCCAAATCTCTTTTCTTAGCCAAACATCATATTATACATTTTGTTAGATTATTAGTCCAATCTCATGGTCAAGCCCATCCAAGCAATAATGGTTTAGAATTGGCTTGAACCATACAACCATCAGTCAATATTTATGGCATCTCTGTATTGATTTTAATGTCCTAAGTGGAACGAGATATTATTTGTACCTCTGTACTAGGTTTGATGTCCTCAAACAAAACCAGATACTTTTACCTTAGTCATGGACTATGAAGCACGGGTACTCCAAAAATAGTGCCGTACACGCACCGGGTACTTACCGGGTGCGGGTACGCGTACCGGTACAGCTGCACGCGTACCGGGTACGGCAAAAACCACTCCGGTACGTCTGTCTCAGTTGGGTACGACATGGGTACGGCTCGGGTACGGCATGGGTACGTATTCGGTACGTTTTGGGTACGTCGGGGCAGAAATCAAATTTTCTGGAGATTGAGGGGTACCGGAGCAATATTAAAAAAAAATTAAAAAAAAATGAAAAAATGAATATACGAATTTCATCCATTTTGCCCTAATTTCATCACTTTTGCCCTAATCTTATCAGTTGAGCAACGCAGAGGCGACTTCGACCCAGCTTTGTCTTCAACTTCGACTTCGACCCTCATCTTTGACTTCGACCCAGAGATTACCCTCGTCTTCGACTTTGACCCTCGTCTTCGACTTCGACCCAGAGATCACCCTCGTCTTCGACTTCGACCCACGGCATCGGGTACGACTTCTTCTCCTTCTTCTTCGCTGTTTCATCACCCTCGTTTTCTCTCATCTTCTTCGTTTCTTCTTCATCTCATTTTTTTTTGTTGGCAGAGATCAGCGAGCATGTATCATCTATTTTCGTCCCCTGCAGATCAGCCATACCAAGCAACTGGTCAGAATCTCTCCATCTTTATTTTTTTTCATTTTTTTTTTGTTTCTTCTTTCTTCTTCAGAGAGTTATAATCTGCTGTTGTCATGTTGATGTAGTTTAGGTTCATAAATATTAGAAATATTTAGGTTCATAAAAAAAATGAAAAAATGAATATACGAATTTCATCCATTTTGCCCTAATTTCATCACTTTTGCCCTAATCTTATCAGTTGAGCAACGCAGAGGCGACTTCAACCCAGCTTTGTCTTCAACTTCGACTTCGACCCTCATCTTTGACTTTGACCCAGAGATTACCCTCGTCTTCGACTTCGACCCAGAGATCACCCTCGTCTTCGACTTCGACCCACGGCATCGGGTACGACTTCTTCTCCTTCTTCTTCGCTGTTTCATCACCCTCGTTTTCTCTCATCTTCTTCGTTTCTTCTTCATCTCATTTTTTTTTGTTGGCAGAGATCAGCGAGCATGTATCATCTATTTTCGTCCCCTGCAGATCAGCCATACCAAGCAACTGGTCAGAATCTCTCCATCTTTATTTTTTTTCTTGTTTCTTCTTTCTTCTTCAGAGAGTTATAATCTGCTGTTGTCATGTTGATGTAGTTTAGGTTCATAAATATTAGAAATATTTAGGTTCATAAAAATTAGATCAGAATGTTAATCAAGCAGGTTAGGTTCATAAATATTAGATCAGAATTAGATCAGAATGTTAATAAAAATTAGATCAAAAAATTAGAAATATTTAGGTTCATAAAAATTAGAAAAATTAGATCAGCAGTTTAAGTTCATAAATTAGATAAAAAAATTAAAAAAATTAAAAATTAGATCAGAACGTTAATAATCATAAATATTATTTTTATGATATTGGTGTTGGTTGTTTTTCCTTTACTTGGATTATGGATTGAATTGGTGTTGGTTATGTTAAATTGAAATATATTAATATTTGTCTTTTAGTTTTATGGTTCTCTTTTTAGTTTTGATATTTAATTTCAATTTGTAGATTGGATCTTTTAACCATAATTATAAAAAATAAAAATAAAAAAAAAATATCGGCGTACCGCAGCCGTACCCGTACCCTACTATTTTGGGATTTTGCCGTATCGGCGTACCCGTACTCGTACCCGTACCGTACTCGTACCCGCACCCGTGCTTCATAGGTCATGGATCAAAAAACCAACCAGCGCAGGTTCAGTTATCAGTTTATCAATGCCAAAAAAAGAAAAAAGAAAAAGAAAAAAAAAAAAGAGAGAGTCAATGGTTTACTAGAGTCATTGTGTGTGGTATATATAATTCAGAGATATGGTAGAGATATGTACAGATGCTTATAGATATGTATAGATATGGTATAGATATTGTATGAGTGCTTCTAAAAATTTTAAAACTCTGAATACCATCAACCATGTGCATAAAGTATACAACTGGCTTTTTTAATGGTCTCTTTCCACCTTGAGGCCTTTTAAAAGAAAAGAAAACATGACATGCAATGCAACCCCACTTAATCAACTACTTATTTTTTAACAAAAAATATCCTGACAAGATTCTCATGCTAGTTTCTTCTAATAAGATTTGTTAATAATTTACAAATTATTTATTTAAAATAACATTTACCAATAAAATATGAAATTGGAAAAAGACTTGACAAAAATTTAGTTAAAATGATGCAAATTTTTAACAAGTCAAAAAGGGTATCCTGGACTAATTTGGATCATGATGCCACCCACATGGATTAGCAGGGATAATGAAGAAATTATTAATATTAATATTATTTTATGTTGTAAATGCAAGATCGAGAAGCTTGTTGACTGAGGCAGTTTTAAAATTCACCCAATGTTTATCCATTCTGGTTTAAGTTCTTGTACTTTACTTATGTTAATGCAATGCCCAATTTTAGTTACACTATTCATCATGGCTAACTACTAGCATGAATATCCCATGTAGATTTGCTTTGTCTTGATTATTCCTAATTAGTAATAAGTAGGCCCGTTAGCTTCAGTTCACCTTCAGGGCTTAGCATCCAATCAAATATTTTGACATTTTTTTTATTCGCTCTTTGTTAAATCTCTTCACAGGTACGCTCACTCCTTGCCCATAAACCCATCTCAAGCAAACCTTCAATGTAGCAACATTTAGGACTAGTTTGGCATGTACTAAATAAGTCAAAAAGTCACTATCTTATTTAAATCACATCATCTTATTTAAATCACATCACCTCTCTAACACATCACATCAAACCCAACCCAAACCCACCAATAAGTAAAAAAGTGCACTTTTTTAGGACATCCCAAACCAACCCTTAATTTATATGAAGTCTCATACACTGCTGGAAAAATGACTTTTAGCGGCGTTTTTAAAACGCCGCTATATGTCTGAAAAACGCCGCTAATTACTTTAGTGACGCTTATCACCAAACGCCGAGGACGCGGCCGTCGCTGTAAGTTTATGACGCTTTAAAACGTCGTAAAATAAGTATAGACGGCGTTTATAAAAACGCCGGTAAATGTGACAGTCAACGGTAACATGACGTCACACAGGCCTTCAGCGACGCTTCAAAAACGTTGTAATAGCTTTTTAGCTATTTTAAAAATATAACTATAGTGGCGTTTTGAAAAACGACGCAATAGAATTTTTTTTTTAAACTACTAATTTTGTAAGATTTAACTTTAAAAATAAACCTGTAAAATAGCAATAATGAACAAAACTTTGTATAGACATATATTTCTGTGAGATTACTATTCCCTCACATCTATAATAGTACCCAATACAACATCCTTCAAGAAAAAAATCCAATAAGTTCAATCCCAACATCATTCTACCTGTGTATGTTTTATCTTGGCCAAATGCATTTAAATTGTTTATTGATAAAACATTTCTAGAACACGTCAGAGGATTTACAAAGAACCCAAATTCATTTAAATTGTTTATTGATAGAACATTTCTAGAACACATCAGAGGATTTACAAAGAACCCACAAATCTCTGTTGTATTATAGCGATCCCGGGTTTACCCTTGTTATACTGTCATCCGGACATGTGTCCGTGGATGTTGGTAGTTGTTTATTATTTTGTTTACATCCTTTTTACTTCGTAATTGAGTTATAGGATGTGTTGGGCAGGTTTGTTACAGGTTGGTTGAGTTTAGAAACCAAAACTAGTTGCCCAGACTTTGACCTGTCCGCTCGAGCGGGAATTGCACCCATCCAGTATTTCCTGTGCAGTGTTGGACGCTCGAGCGTGGGATTGGCCGCTCGAGCGGGATTGTGTGAGTGCCGCTCGAGCGGGGAGTTGGAAGCTCGAGCGGAGACCTGGTTCTGTAAAAGTTCTGGCCAAAAAAAAAATACATTATTAAAGATTGTTAATTCATATTTTATTTATATATATCCACCAGATCCACTGTCCAAGATCTATTTTTGTTGCTGTTAATGATAACAATGATGATATTTGTGTGTATATTGGATCTTATGTTGCATCTGTTGGATATTTCTAAGGTTGATTCTTACGTTGAATTTGTTACAAATTTCTATGTATGTTGTGAAAATGATAAACAAATATTTGCAACATATTAATATATATTTTTTTGTTCTTGTGTTCAAAGGCTTACAAAAAAAATAAAAAAATAAAAAATGATAGGCGTACATAATTTTCATACAAAATTTAAGATAATAATAATGTACAAATAATATTTTTGAAATTATAAACTAAAATGATGGATATTTTGACTTATAATTAATGAATATAAATAAAACACATCATTTTGTATGAATTTTTTTTTATATATAAACTCTGTTTATATAAAATTACCTTACACATTTCATTTTTAGAATATGCATTTGCATATATTATTTACTCATTAATATAAGTACCTGCACAATGGCGACGTGGAGGAGAGTCCCGCGAAGGCCAACGGCGATGGAAGCTGCGGCCATCACCGCCGGGCCGGTGAGGAACCTGACAGCCATGGCGAATGTGGCAACTGAGTTGCCGCATGCAATTATCTTAGGTTGAAGAGCCATAAACAATCCTTTCAATTTCAACAACACATAACAAGTCAAATTAGACAAATTCAAATAATAATATTAACAATAATAAATAATTAAAATCAAAATTAAAACCCTCCCAACTAACTTTTTCAATTAGTTTGGAAATTCAGATTTTTCTATCTAGATTTTTCTGAGTAAGTGGTTATATGCTGGAGATTAAATTTATATAGTGTGTCCATAGGACAAATTTGAATCGCAATATGATAATTTTAAATAATTTACGAATAATTAAGCCTAAATTCGTAATATTAATTAAAAAAAAAAAGTAATGCTAAGGATATCAAATTTCGTAACAAATAAATAACCAAATGTCTGTGTGAAGTCCATAAAACTTCACATTGATATAAGACATTTAGTCATTTATTTAACAAAAAATTTGAGACGTGTAACCTTTTTCAATTTTTTTTTTTTTTTTTTTTTATAGTACGTACACTTTGGGTTTGGGGGCATCTATTCTGATCACCCGATTCGGGACCGCTAGCGATACCGTTGTATCGGCCCCACCTTGTCGGCCGGTGTCAATCCATTCATACCATTTGATTATTATAAACTTGTAGTTGTCATAAACAAATGCATAACAAATGGATGGTTGAAAACTAGAATCCTCAAATCACATAAAATGTGTATAAAAAATACAACCTCCTTTTTGCCAATTATTAGTTGACGAAAATGATATATATATTTCTTACACAATTCTTTTTACTCTTCACTCCCAAAAGTACTGAAAATAGATATGTAACATATAGAAGCATATATAGTCACTCTATATGGCATCATGATGGATTAAAGTAATACCATGCATAAAAAAAATAAAAATAAAAATAAAAATATATAGACCAAATTTATTATAAGTGATGTGGACAAATGTATGTTTGAATCAAAGATGACCAATGTGTAGGTTTTGTCTAGGGCTTATCAATTTCTTTTCTTCTTTTTTGTTTTGAATAAATTGTACTTAAATTTTATTTTTATTTCTATTATTTTAATTTAAACAATTTGGCATTTATACTTTAACTTCAGTTTTTGTTTGATCCTTCTATCAAAATTTCTATTAATTTTTATCTTATTTTTATTTTTTTAAGTATAAACCCCAAAAGAATAACTAGTGTTACAAAATCATTAATTTTAATTTTTAACTCAAGCAGAATGATCAAATTAATACTATATTAAAAAGTAAAAAGACTAAATTATTCTGTTTAAATTAATAGGAACCAAATTAAAATTTAAGTACTTTGCCCTCCTTTTCAAAGGCCCCAATTGCCCAATGGGCTTAATAAAAAAATATATAATTGAATAATGTTAAAATTAGTAAAAATGTTACACTAAAGTTCTTAAAGAAAAGTATAATGTTAATATGCTTCTCACAGATCCATCACGATTGATACAAGTTGCCACGTGTCTGTTGATGACTAGAGACCTTCACTGACTTTCCAAATTACCCCTTATGAACCACATGTCAGGCTGTGATTGGCTTGTATAAAATATATCACCAACATTCTATGAAAAATATTTTCTAGAATTTTTTTTTTTACAGAATATTTTTTATTGAACAATGCATTT